ATATATATATATATAGTCTTCTCCGTTGTTCTTCTGTTCTTTTCCTATCATTCTCTTTAGTACAATGGACCAAGTCAGCCATCTTTGGAAAGCTTCTCTGCAGAAATCTCTAGAATAGGACAAGAAAACGTGTTTCTGATAACGCCAAGAGATTCCTCACATATCCAGGGAACTAAAATGTACTTGTAGAAGAATCAGACATTCTGTAATTATATCATGGACAAGAGGTCAAGAGAAAGGTGTGGTCTTTGTAGAGAACAAGTAATATGAGTCAGTCATAGCTGGTCACGCACCATATGAGAGAAAATACTTTCTACCCATGCCAAGTATTCAAGGAGGAAGGCAACAAGACTCTGGAAGGACTTGGTCTGCTCAAATAAATACATGAAAAGGCCTCACATGATCTTAAGCAGCCTGGTGTTGCACTGTGCAGCACCACACTAACTCTTCCTCTCCATAACACGTACCTCTTCCCTGTCCTTACCACTAGCTACACTTTCCTGAAAAGCTGTGAAGCACCAGACACCACACAGCACATTTTGGGGTCATTATCTTCCTCATGTAAGGTTTGTCACCAACCTTCTCCATGCCTTTCTGGTAAAAGTGTGAGGTTCAGAAATGCTTGTTCACTTGCTCAATGTTTCATGGTACTGTGTGGTATGGAGGAACCAGTAGGAGCCTGTTTAGCTTCTAAGGCCAAGTCCAACACTATATTCTAAACCTTATTCCCCACTGTCTTCCCAGATGTGAACATTCCTAACTCTGCAAAGATACAACCCCTTATACCCCATGATGGCGAATATTGTTTTTCAACTTGATGGGATATAGAATCACCAGGGAAACACATATCTAGGTATGTGTGTGAGGGTGTGTCCAAAGTGAGGAGCGAAGTCCACCCTGAGTGCGAAAAAAAAAAAAAAAAAGTCAGCTGAGTACCAGCATTTACCTCTCTCTGCTTCCTGAGTATGGATGCAATGTGACCAGCCCAGCTGCTTCATGCCCCTGCTGTCATGACTTCCCGTCATGATAGATTATATCCTCAAACTGTGAGTCAAAATAAACCTTTTCATCAAGTTGATTCTTGTCAGGCATTTCATCACATCAATGAAATAAGTAACTAATATACACCTTTACCTTCAGGTACAAATGCAAACACTGGCAAGTTTTGAGAACTATCATTTGGGCTTTTTTATATTAACTTCCCATGATATTGAGGTAGATGAACTTTCCTATAGAGGACCAAACATTGGACCCAAAGTAAATTTCCTTCCAAATTATTGAACCAGCCAGCCCTCATAGGCCAATTACTACATCCATTGCAGAGTGGGGATCCAAAAGAAAAAGAAAAAGGTAAAACAATCACCACCACAAAAACAAAGCAGGGCTCCAAACATGGCTTCCGTCCAGTTTGTAGGGCCCACGTCCACCGTGCTCTATTAGACATTGCTCACTCCTGTTACTTGGGCAGTTGAAAAGCTTCCCTTTTGTTATCTGGTTTTATCACCAAGTTTCAGAACTACACCATAGCACAGCAAAGTTAGTCCATTGAGTAGACTCCAAATAAACTCAATGTGCTTTCCTAAGAGGAACTACCGAGAATATCACCCAACTTGGAGACACCATGATTTGCACTTGTCAAGGTTATGTTTCAAAAGCAGTTTGTGGCCCTTCCTGAAGGTGAACGATTGAGCTTTCTAAATTACTACAGGAAAAAAAGTCACTTGGCTCCTGTTCTTCCATAAGAATAACTCCCAATTCCCGAAATCTGAGTGGTAGGGCTTAATCACACTGACAATCTTGAGAAACCAGTTTGGGCTTCTGGAAAATAAAAACATACTACAATCCAGTTTATTCATATTAAAGGTCAACTGTCAACTCCAAGGATTAACATTTATTTTTCTTAATATTTTTTTTCATGCTCCATTCTTCAAAGTCCACTGACCTTTTTGTTTGCTTGTCTGTTTTTGGTAGTTTAGGGAAATCAAACCCAGGTCTTTGCACATGCTAGGTAAGCATTCTACCACTAAGTCACTTAGTTACATCTCCAGTCCTTATTTATTTATTTATTTATTTTTGCTAAGTAGTCCAGGTTGGCCTCAAACTCATGATTCTCCAGCCTTTGCCACCCGAGTACCATCATATCATGAACACTGAACCACTGCACTGGGCTAGGACAGCACTTTTTGTTGTTAATCATTATCACCAATCCATAAATGTTGCTGTATTTCAGATCCAGGTAAGCCACAGGGTATGTCCCCAGAACCCAGGCTAGCATGCTCTTACCACTTTGTTTTAGAATTAACTTTGTGGCAATGAAGACTCCAATAGATTGGAAGCTGTTATTTATCACAAATTTATTTATTTATTCATATGAAAAATAAGTGTACAATGTATGTCTAATATGAAGAACTATCCTATAACTTACTTTTTTATTTTTTGTGTGTTGTCTGCATGTATGTGAGTGCATCAGTGTCATGCAATGCCACAGAGGTCAGAAGAGAGCTTCAGATTCCCCTGGAACTGGAGTTAAGGACAGTTCGTAGCTGCCATGTGGGTGCTGGGAATCGAACCCGGGTCCTCTGCAAGAGCAGTCAGTGCTCTCAACTGGTGAGCCATCTCTCCAGCCCCTATAACTTACTTTTAACTTACAAAAATATAGTTAGACAAAAGAAGAAAGAGTAAGGGAGACAGAGGAGAGCATTTTCTCTCTCATTCTGCCCAATAAGCTCATAGTGGAGAGTAAGTACTAAACAAAAACTTGAGGCTCTTGCTCTTTGAGATGGTTTCAGTAGTGTGTCCTTCAAAGCACAAGCACCTTGCAAAACTGAGATTTTTCTAGAATTTAAACAATTAACACATGACTGTCAAACACAAGCAAATTCTGTGTCTAGCACCTAAATAGAGAAGCTATATGTTTCAAATAAAAAATCACTGCCTTTGTTGACATTTTTGAAGATATAATTTGTTCTTCAAGGTGTCATATTTGCAAGAATTTTTGAGAATGATTTGTACTCTAGACAGCTAGAACCTATCCCAGTCATAAGATGCGATATTTTGTATCACCTATCTTGGTTAGAAGATGTGGTGTTATTTGTCTAGAAATGCTGGCTGAATCAATCAATGAATTACCTAAGGTTAATCATGAACCAGAGTTCTAAATTACAATGAATATTCACGCATGAAGGGCCTCTGCACTAATCAGTCACTGATGAACAACTAAAGTCCACATTAACAGCAAAGTGACATAGGGATTATTTTAAGGCGTTCAAACTAGTTTAAAGAGAAGCCAACAGGGAGCCATCCATTGTCACAAGTGTTTCACCCAAGGGTTCAATGAACCACAGATTGAAAATACTAAAAACTGAGTCTGTGCTGAACAAAGACTGACCTTTCTCTGGTCATTATGCCATAAACAATACAGTCATCACAACCTACCTAGCATTTACAGTGTAGTAAGCATAATTCATCGAGAGGTGATTCAAAGCAACTCACATAAAAATGTGTGTAGGTTACAGTCAAAAATTACACTATTTTAAATAAGGGACTTGAGGATCTGCAGATTTTAGCAAAGAGTAGGGTGTGTGTGTGGGGGGTAGGTGTTGGATTCAATTCCGCATGGATACTAAGAGACAGTAGATGGACTGTAGGGGATTTTTAAAGCACTGGCATTGTTTTGTATGATACCATAAAGAGGCATACATGACACTGTGCATTCGTCAGAACCTACAGAACTCTATGACCCAGAGTGTCTTCACACTTGTCTTCAGGTCTGTATCACAAAATGCAGCACACTATTGCACTACTGCAAGGTTGGAACAGAAGAAACAGTGGGAGGGGAAGGAGAGGCTCTATGTAAGAACTCTGTACTTACTGCTCAGTTTTCCTGTAAGTTTAAAGAACAGAAAGGAGGGAAAGATCTCCTTCAGATTCGTGTTTTTCAGTTGGGGTGATTTAGATCCTCGGGAGACAGAAGCACTGAAGATCCTTTTGATAGACACAATTAAGGAAGGAGCTGTCATGTATTAAAGGGCAGACTGCTGCTCTGTGGTGAACAGCACTGCCCCCAACTGTAAAGAGCAGTCTCATCCATTGTTAATAGGGCCAAGCTTAAGAAACACTGAGTTAGATGATTATAAAAATTATGAGTTGGCCAGGTGCACAGCTCAGTGATAGAACACCTGAGTAGTGTGTGTGAGGCCACTGGGTTCACTAGCTATCAATACCTCCATACCCCTGCTTCCACTCCCCAAAAGAAACCCAGGATGGGTATGGTGGTGTACGCTGTTAATCCCAGTACTTGAGAGGTGGGGTAGGGGGGATCAGGAGTTCTGCTACAGAGTCAAGGTTAGCCTGGACTACATGAGATCCTGTTTCAAAAATCCCAAGAAAATGAAGAGGAGGAATAGGAGAAAGAGAGGAAGAGGAGGAGGAAGAGGAGGAAGAGGAGGAGGAAGAGGAGGAGGAGGAAGAGAAGGAGGAGGAAGAGGAGGAGGAGGAAGAGGGGGAGGAGGAGGAAGAG